GACTCTCAGCGAAACTATCTTCATGCCGCGGAACATGCCTGCCGGTATCTCGGTCAGGTCGCTGAAGCTGTAGATCTGAAGGCGACTCATCGTCGTGTTCTGCAAGCGGCCAACGATGGCCGTCATCTCTGCCGCTGACATGTACCCGCCGTAGCAACTGACGCTCGCGCCGTCGTGATCATTGAGGCAGGTGCATGGAGAAATGACATGATCCTCTGGGCAGAAGCTCGCTGCTTGTGCGGCCGCTGTCAGCAGCAACAGGAACGATGAAAGAAACTGGAGCCACATCTTCGTGTCAGCTAGCATCAGAGTGTCTTAACTCACCTGCGTCTAACTCTGGCACAGTGGGAGACTATTTATATGCTCGTGGAGCGCCAGGTCCGACTCGCGGGGACAGTATTACACATCGCAACATGACGCAACATCTTTACTAATTATAGCCTTATCGGGTTCCAATAGTCATTGAGTATTTACTGATGATAACGGAGATAGTAATCCGAAATGTCTGTTAAGGATACTCTCAAGGTTTTAGGAAAATTTTTACCGATTTTTTTATTTTCAACTTTATTCGATGGCTAACACTATGTGCCACCTGTGTACATGCTCATTTCTCCATATAACGGTATACATGTGAAGTGTCCGAGCGTTTAGCTTGCCCGCGTACATGTGTAGCGAGCCGCGGCTGACGTCAGAAAAACGCAAATTTCTCCGTTCCAATTTCTGACTTAGTAGTCGATGTATAAATGGATATTTTTCTGTGATTACAACTCGGAATAATTTAATTTTACACTCGTTTTAATGGTAACATATTGCTGTAAAAAAATGCGCCAGGGATTGTTATTAAGTGCCGTATTTTATGAGTTATGTCTCTTTATTCGCAAAGATTTTTAATTCAAACGTGCAACTTGAATTTTAGGCAGTTTTTTTTACTCTCTAAATATGAAACTTAAAGAAAAATCCTGATGTACTATTTTGGTACATATTGTGCTTAACATGTGGCGAAAATTTTGTATCCTCACTCTTTCTGGTAATTGAGAAATATTAAAAATACCATTTTTACATAAAAATTCAAAATTTTGTGGTAACATAATTAGGTGCTGGAAATTTCATGAAATTTTTTGCCTTGACCATAGAGATATATCTCCTCTAGAAATAAAACAAGTGATTTATTCGATTCATTCGTCGGTAAACGTTTAATCTTCATTAGAGCAATACCCGTGCAAAAGGTTGAGAGTATCCTTAACCCTATCGTATAAGGAAGCGGTGTATTCTATTAACCATATTGTAAGTAATCAGTGTATTCTGTTAACCCTAATGTGAGGAATCAATGTATTTTGTCAACCCTATTGTGAGCGAGTGGGAAGTGACCTAGGGTTCTCGTGAGCTTAAACACTGTCTATGTCAGCTCTCATTGTACTCTCTTGCGTTTATAGAATGTCACCTTATAGCGTGTTTAACGCCGAGTTGTTCTTCTTTTACTGTGAGTGAGTTTAAGGCGTGAGATCAAGCAGCTGCTAAGGCAACATAGCATGAACTAACTCGATCTGTCTAAGAACCAGTGCAGGCATGGTTTTACTACAAACCTTACAATTTCCTTAAATTTAGGTGCCGAATAATACCGTTAAAAATATGCATCTCTATCATTTCTTACATATCATAATCTTCTATCATTCTAATGCCGTATCACTAGCATATGTTTATGAATGTAAACATGTTTCAACCAGACGCTCGTGTCAGTTTATTCATAGTCGAACGTCACGGGCGTGAAGTTCATCAGCTTATACGTAGCAACGATAGATATCGCTATGCAGCCTACTGTGGCGTGAGACCGTCTGCATCTGTGCCAATTTTTAAATAATGTGGGGATGTTATGATATCTATCGTTCGAGTGCTAAATATTTAATCTCATATTTAACATTGATATTCTTATCATTTACTCCATCCTTAACGCTATTCAGCCTATTGTGGCGTGAGACCTTCTGCATCTGTGCGAATTTTTTAAATAATGTGGGGACGTTATGATATCTATCGTTCGAGCGCTAAATATTTAATCTCATATTTAACATTGATATTCTTATCATTTACTCCACCCTTAACGCTATTCAGCCTATTGTGGCGTGAGACCGTCTGCATCTGTGACGGCGCATGAAGGCGCAAATGTAACAAACAAGTTCAAGGTTCATATTTTAACTTGATCACTTTGCAAATGCACCAGCCAGCGAAAGAATGTGGGTTTAAATTGTTTGAGCTTGTAAATTACGTTATAGGTGGCAGTTGGATCTACAGGTGATTCGTTGTTTAGGAGATTATGCATTAGTCTATAAATTATGATATTAGACCGTGGATGTGTGACTTACCAAATTTTAGTTAATCATAAACATCGCGTGCATATCTTACAGTCGTGCGGTTGATGGACTTCACACCTGCTTGGCGAAACCTTAAACAATACAACAGTATATGACGTTTTGACGTTATGAAAATTTAAACATCTGCGAAACCATATCTGCCCGCATGTGGGAGCGTGTCTGTGGGGAACGCAGTAACTGGACTATCACGGTGAAAATACACGTTTTTAAAAGTGTGTAGATTTATAATGCTGCCGCTTTTACACTAAGAACGCACATGTGCTTTATTGCAATTAATATATATACTAGACGTGACGCGGCCATGATGCCAAAGCGCGCCGAAGATTGACACTTTGTGTCTTCCAATCACAGCTTATGCCGCACCCGTACGTGGTTTATAATTTTAAAGGTATTACCCATTACAGCACCAAATCGCCGATCTCAGGAACTAGGGCATTCTGCTAGGCTAGAACGGTTTCCTACGATAGAGTTTGGCACAAATACGAAAATAACACGCTGTTTAGCGCACTGCGCTATAAGTCCTTCCGTTGCATTTTCGCATCTCCGTAATCAGAATAAGCCCCGCCTTCTTCGTTGATGGGCATAAATGGGGCGTCACCGACTTGACCAGTTTCTATACCGACTGTCTTTCGCCAGCCTGCTTACTTTTTGTAAATAATGAAATGCCCGGCCGATGCATTTTGCAGCAAAGATAAAAATTTTCCGACAGCGAGTAAAAATGGCGAAGTGAACGAGTGCGTCATTCATTGAACATTTCAGCAAAACACCGGCCGTTCCTTCCTTCACGCTGACTTACTCACATAGTTCTCACGCCGAGTGTATATCCACCGTTCTCTCTCCCGCGTCTCGCTCTGTTCCTCCCGTCTCGCTCTCCGTCATTCTTCGTGTTTAGGAGAGTTTTGTTTATTCTTAGTGACGCTTTTTGGTTGTACGCTGTATGTTAATTGTAGAGCAGCGCCACCTATAGATGCGCGGGAAACTAGGCTTTGTTAATGGTGTTCCTACGAATTCGGGTGTTGAACGAGTCGTAGGACAAACAGTGATCGGTTTTTTGGTTCAAACAGAAGAGTCAGTCCCTCAAATAGAGGTGAGTGAGAGATTAGATATTGTAGATCGAAGTAATCATGGCTATTGTGCCGTCGTACAATTCTAAAGTTATAGTAGAGAGTAAAATTAATATCACAATTTTTAATGGCAGAATTTCAGTGACTTTGCCGCGATGGTAAAGGTGTATTTACCTGCCGATCATATTTGGTTGAGATATCATGATTAACGATAAAATAAGACCTCTAGGCTTACTCTGGTAGTGTTTTGCATATGCTTTGAGGTTCGTGCATGTGTTTTGTGGTCAGTTTGATGGCACAGAAGTGACATTAGTAAGGCATTACACGCTGAATAAAATCAATTAGTTCGTCATATTACCGACAAGAGCAGCACCATACGGTTACGAATTGAGTAGAAATTAGTAAGTTTGGTGTTATTAGTATTTGATTAGCTGATTTCTTACGGTGTTTTGTAATTGTGTTTTGCAGTTTACGTATATATATAGAAGAAACGTACAAGTACAGCTGTAACGAAACCCAGTATCTACTGATGTATTAATAAAGAAATCAACACAAGAATTTGGTCTCGTACGTCTAATCCAAGTGATGTTACAGTAAACTCTATGAGGTGGCCGGCTGCTCAAGTGAACAGTATTGCAGGCGGACTCTAATTGAATATCAGTAGTGGCACGGTCCTGGTACGTACATCACGGTTCCAGGCCTGACTGATTCAGCAATTGGAGGTCAGAAATTAGGTCAACTTAACTGATAAAGGAGTACATCGGAAGGTCATTCGGCGCATGTAGTGGACTATTTGGGAGTCAAGTTCAGAAGCAGATAGGTTCAAGCCTTCAAGGACTCCAAGATCCAGAAATGCAGCAGGACGGTGTACCCAAGGCCACGCGGGCCAATGTCAAGGCCGCTTCCGAACAGAGGCAGGCACATACTCAAGGTCTGTCATCTGTTACCGACAAATTGCGTTTCGTTCTTAATAGCAGCAATACCAAAGTGGCAGTCATGAGAGCTCATCACTCAGACTGGCTACGCGAGTACGAGAAATACCTAGTATCTCATCATGCATGGCTCGATTTGGTGGAAGATGAGACAAGAACTAAACTCGAAGCAGAATTACACAAAGAATTGGCATCTTTCGCCAAATTTAAGGAAAGGTTAGTAAAATGGTTTCTGGAAAATGATAAAGCTCCCCCCTCAGGTGGAAAATCCAGATCTGGGAACTCCGTAGGTACGACACACTCGGGTGAATCCTCTCATCGTTCAAGTAGGAGCAGCCTATCGTTGATCAAGGCACAGGAAACCCAGAGAAAGGCCGAGCTAATGGCCAGGGCTGCAGCTCTTGAAGAAAGGAAACAGATTGAGCAGGAGAAGCTTCAGTTGAACTCAAGAAAGAGGAATTTCAGATAAGAACTAAGATGAAGGTGTCGGATGCTAGAGCCTCTGTCTTGGAAGAGTTGGAGAGGAGTGAGTTAAATGATCAGAAAATGCCACGGGACTTTGACGTGGTTAAGCTGGACACTATTCCGGAGTATCCACCAGGGACTCAAGCAGCTTCAACTCCAAACAGGACTACATTCAACCTTGACGCGCCAGAGTATATTCCAGTCAATCAAGAGCAGAATGATGAGAGCATCGCAGGGAATATTGAAGCCAACCAAGGATCGCAGGACAGGAGTCAGGTAAATGGTGGCACATCTTCTGCCGGATGTATTGGTGTTCCCACACCAGTAAGTAGCCCAACACAGCCGGGACAGCAAGACAGGACTCATGAGGGTAGCTTAGCATTGATGTATGGTTCCATGCCGGGGACGTCCTCGTCATCGATACAGATGGATACAGTTGTTAGGGAGTTACGTAAGCCTGCATCAGATCTAAATAAAATTTCAGGTGACCCTTTGGAGTATTGCAGATTCCTACTACAATTTCAAGCTTGAGTAGTGAGTAACACTACAACCAACGACGAGAGGCTGAACTATCTAGAACAATTCACCGAGGGAGAAGCACACCGTATTGTTAGTGGGTATAGCTGTCTTGAAGCAGACATTGGTTATCCAGCAGCATTGAATGAAATTGAGAGGCGTTATGGCGACAAGGAGTTGGTGGCGACTGCTTACATTAGGCGGGCCCTGGATTGGCCATTGATCAAACCGGATGACCCTAAGGCCCTGGACGCTTACGATATATTCTTAATAGAGTGTCAGAACGCAGTCAAGGCAATAGATGTGGTGCGGATCCTAGAGTATTCCGAGAACTTAAAGAAACTTGTTTGCAAGTTACCCTATAGGCTTCAGGAAAAATGGCGAGGCATAGCACAGGACACACGTGAGAAGAAGGAAGTAGTAAGGTTTGACCAGCTAGTGAAGCTTGTTCAAAGAGAGGCTAGAAAAGTAATGGACCCCATCTATGGAAGGCACGCCATGCAGGAGCCAAATCTGCAGCCCGGAGGTCACGGACAGAAAACAGTCAAACGGAGCAGCTTTGCTACAGAATTGTCACCGGGAGATTTGGAGCATCGATGGCCACGGCCTCCAAAGGATCAAATTGAGGCTAATAGTCAGCAGAGGATCAATAGGGACATCGTAGTCGTCAAACCATGTGGTTACTGCAATGACTCTGCACATGCTATGGAACATTGCAATAAGCTGAAGATGAAGACGCATGATGACAGGAAGGCTTTCTTAAAGTTAAGGGGGCTCTGCTATGGTTGCCTTAAGTCTGGGCATCAGGCTAAGTTTTGTCGTAATAGGGCCAAGTGTTCAAAGTGTGGTGGATCTCATCCCACAATGCTACATAGGGATACAGCTGCGGCACCTTCGGAGTTTAAAAAGGCATGTTCAAGCATCACGAGCGAAGCTGATGGCGATAAACAGAGCAGAGGATGTGATCTACGGTGCCATATGGGAGCCGGCAAAGGGAGCATAGGGCAACGCACAATGGCGATAATCCCTGTCATGGTCCAGACTCCGGATGGTGGCGTAGCAGCAGAAACTTACGCATTTTTTTGACCCAGGCAGTAACGTCTGCTTCTGCACTGATAAGCTGGCTGCTCAACTAGGAATCAAAGGAAAACGCACGACAATGAAGCTAGAAACGATGGGAGCGTGTCCGAACTTAGAAAAAGAACACATGGAATCACAGGACTGGAAATCAGTGGTTTAGATGGGGATACTATTATCAAGCTACCAGCCTTGTTCACTAAGGCAGAAATGCCAGTCACCAGGGACCTCATTCCAACTCAGTCAGATATTAGCGGATTTGAACATCTCAATGACATTGGATTGCCCAAGATCAACGCAGAGATTGGCCTACTAATTGGGAACAATGTGCTGGATGCGTATACGCCATTAGAGCTCAGGACTGGTCCGAGAGGAACACCCCATGCAGCCAAGTCAGTTCTTGGGTGGATCTTGTGGAGTGTTGTAAGAAGCAATGAGCTGCAGATTTGTTGTACCGCAAACAGGGCTGAAGCATCTGCAATACAGGACATGGGTCGTCTAGAAAGTTTGGTTCGTAATGCCATGAATATAGACTTCCCAGAGCGTAGAGTAGACAGTAAACGGGAGCCATCAGTGGAGGACAAGCAGTTTAACAAGATAGTGGAGGAATCGATAAAATATCAGGATGGTCACTACTCCATAGATTTGCCTTTCCGACAGGCAGACATCAAGTTGCCAGATAACCGGGCGCAAGCCATGGATCGGCTCTCGTCACTACAGAAACGCTTGTGCAAGAATAGGAAGTTCCACAAGGACTATACGGCATTCATAAACAATCTTCTAAATAATGGATACGCAGAGAAGGTGGATGAGGATCGGGATGGTACAAGAGAAAATGGAGACAAGTGGTACATTCCGCATCATGGTATCTATAATCCTAATAAACCAGGAAAAATTAGGGTTGTGTTTGATTGCTCAGCAAAATGCAGAGGAATATCTCTGAATGACACCCTTGTCTCAGGCCCAAACTTAACGAATGCCATCGTGGACGTGCTGTTGCGATTCCGTCAGCAACCCGTAGGAATCATGGGAGATATAGAGGGCATGTTTAACCAAGTCAATGTCAACGAGCATTATCAGGACTTCTTGCGGTTCCTGTGGTATCCTGGAGGGAACCTAGACCAACCGCCGGAGACTTATCGGATGACGACACATCCATTTGGGGCAGTTTCTTCTCCAGCCTGCGCAGCTTCGGCGCTACGACAGTGTGCCACTGACAGTGAAGGACAGGTTTCACGAGAGGTCGTAAGCACCATTAGAAGGAGCTTCTACGTTGATGATGTGCTAAAATCTCTTGTCGATGATGATCAAGGGATCGACGTGAGGAGGGGTGTGACTACTGCAGTTAAGGAAAAAGGAGGATTCCGAGCGTGCAAGTGGATTAGCAACAGCAAACCCGTGAATGACTCCATCCCGTTATCAGAACGGTCAAAGAAACTAGAGCTAGCTATTGACAGTGAGAAGCTACCGACTGAAAGAGCTTTGGGGATAATTTGGGATACCGAGACAGATACGTTCACGTTCAAAATTAGGCTAAAGGTGAAAGCGGCTACAAGAAGGGAAATTCTGTCGGTCATCAGTAGCGTTTTTGACCCCCTAGGACTAGCTGGGCCGTTTGTCTTACCAGCAAGGATACTACTACAACGTCTATGCAAGCAGGACATAGCATGGGATAACACCATCGGCGAGAAAAAAATGAACGAGTGGAGTCAATGGCTTATTGACATCCAGAAATTGGAGCAAGTATTTGTGCCAAGGAGCCTGCGTCCTAGAGAATTTACAAAAAATCGTTTCACGACAACTACACGCATTCGCAGATGCATCGGGCAGCGGGTATGGGATAGCCGTTTATACGCGTCTACAGGACGATAAGGGTCAGGTCTGCTGTTCGTTGCTATTTGGAAGGTCAAGGGTCGCTCCACTGAAGAAAGTCACCACACCGAGAATGGAGCTAACGGCTGCCAGCGTAGCAGTGAAGATCGTTGCAATGATTACAGGTGCAATGGAGTATGAGTTTGATAAGATTGTCTACTGGACCGATAGTATGTCCGTGTTACGATACATCAACAATCAGACCAGCAGATTCCACACCTTCGTTGCTAACAGAGTCACCACGATTCAAGAAGGATCAACTCTAAACCAATGGAGATACGTCCCTACTCAGCACAACCCCGCAGATTCTGCATCCCAAGGACTTCGACCAAAGGATCAACGAGCTAGCAAGCAATGGTTGTTGGGGCTCAAGTATCTATGGGAGCCGGAGTCACAGTGGCCGAGATCAGAGTTCTCAAAGGAGCTGTCATCTGAAGATCCAGAAGTTAAGAAAGTTTATGCCACATTTGCAGCACCTGGAGACACCGTAACTACAGATGAACTGTTCGCTAGATACTCAAATTGGAAACAACTCAAGACAACTGTCGCATGGATACTAAGGGCACAGAAATGCTTTAAGCAGCGTCGCAGCACTGATAGAAGGTTGACAGCTCAAGGCAGCGAAGCGTTGACACCACTTAGCGTAGAGGAGTTGGAATCAGCAGAGATCTCGATTGTTAAATACCTGCAGCAAACGCACTTGCCGGAAAACGGAAAACACATAGGATCAATACAGAAGCTGGACCCATTCGTGGATGAAGCAGGACTGCTTAGAGTAGGAGGGCGCCTACGACGTGCTAAGGTTCCAGTTGAAGTCAAACATCCGATGCTGTTGCCGAAGGACTCGCCAGTCACTAGACTTATATTAGTAGATGCCCACAATGGAGTCGGACATCTAGGCTCGAACAGTACGTTGAGTGCACTCCGACAGAAGTATTGGATTCCGCGAGCAAGTCTCCTCATCAGAAGCGTCATCGATAAATGCACAGTCTGTCGCCGCTATCGAGCGAAGTTGTTGGTTCAGAAAATGGCAGATTTGCCATTACAGCGTCTGGAGATGGATCAGCCAGCGTTCACTCAGTCGGGGGTAGACTACTTTGGCCCATTTAAAGTTAAACGGGGACGGAGCATTTACAAGCGATACAGAGTCATCTTTACGTGTTTCTTAAGCCAGGCAGTACACATTGAGTTAGCCCAAAGTCTTACCGTGCATAAACGCTTTCAGGAGATTTGCCGCAACACGAGCTGTACGTCGCCTGAGATCAGATAATGGTACTAATTTAGTTGGAGCTTGTAGAGAGCTAAAAAAAAGAAATCCAGAAGTGGAATCAGTCAAAGATTGGATCAGCCTTACGTCAGAAAGGGATAGAATGGTAGTTCAACTGCCCAATAGCCTCCCATCATGGTGGAGCCTGGGAGAAGCTAATCAGATCCGTGCGCAAGGTACTGTACGGAGTCGCCAAAGAGCAAGTCATTCACTTGGAGGATGAGGGCTTGCAGACCCTCTTTTGTGAGGCAGAGGCGATCCTGAACAACAGGCCAATAGCACGAGTGTCCAGTGACGCCATTGACTCGCCAGCATTGACACCCAACCACTTGTTGAGGCTGCAGCTGGAGCAAGCACCACCAGCTGGAGTGTTTGTGAAGGAGGACAACTATGTCAATAGAAGGTGGCGACAGGTACAACACTTGGCGAACGTGTTTTGGAGGAGATGGAGCACGGAGTACCTGGTAGCGCTCCAGGAGCGTCAGAAATGGCGAAAGAAGGAGAGGAACGTCAAGGTCGGAGACATGGTGTTGGTGGCGGATAGGAATATGCAGCGGAACCAGTGGCCAGTAAGCAGAGTGACGGAAGTGATGAAGGACGACAAGGGTTTGTGAGGGTCGTCAATGTCCGAATTGGAGCCACCATCCTGAAGCGACCAATCGCGAAGTTATGCCTCATTCTAGAAGCTGACTAAGGCGCTGCGCGTTCCGTGATGCCACGATGTTTGCGCATTTAATGGTGTGTTGAATATAATTGCTCGTGTCAAGCTCACAATTAGGGAGCCGGGATGTTTAGGAGGGTTTTGTTTATTCTTACTGACGTTTTTTGGTTGTACGCTGTATGTTAATTGTAGAGCCGCGCCACCTATAGATGCGCGGGAAACTATGCTTTGTTAATGGTGTTCCTACGAATTCGGGTGTTGAACGAGTCGTAGGACAAACAGTGATCGGTTTTTTGGTTCAAACAGAAGAGTCAGTCCCTCAAATAGAGGTGAGTGAGAGATTAGATATTGTAGATCGAAGTAATCATGGCTATTGTGCCGTCGTACAATTCTAAAGTTATAGTAGAGAGTAAAATTAATATCACAATTTTTAATGGCAGAATTTCAGTGACTTTGCCGCGATGGTAAAGGTGTATTTACCTGCCGATCATATTTGGTTTAGATATCATGATTAACGATAAAATAAGACCTCTAGGCTTACTCTGGTAGTGTTTTGCATATGCTTTGAGGTGGTCAGTTTGTTGGCACAGAAGTGACATTAGTAAGGCATTACACGCTGGATAAAACATCATTTAGTTCGTCATATTACCGACAAGGGCAGCACCATACCGTTATTGGGTTTTATGTTTGAGTAGAAATTAGTAAGTTTGATGTCATTAGTATTTGATTAGATGATTTCTTACGGTGTTTTGTAATTGTGTTTTGCAGTTTACGTATATATATATAGAAGAAACGTACAAGAACAGCTGTAACGAAACCCAGTATCTACTGATGTATTAATAAAAAAAATCAACACAAGAATTTGGTCTTGTACGTCTAATCCAAGTGATGTTACACTTCGTCTCTGTCGATTGCTCTCCGTCGTTCTTCGTTTCTCCTACTCTTGCTCCTGTTCCCGTCTCTCTCTCGCTCTCTCTCTCTCCGTCTCTCTTGCTCTCTTGCCCGCACTCCGTTGTTCTTCCTTCTCCATCGTCCTTGCGTATAGTCCGTAGATCAATATAGTTGTAGGTAGTACCTTACGTTGCGTCCGCAAAGGAATAGCCAGGTTGTTGACTGTCACTGCACCAAAATGTAACGATGAATTTGATATAAATCCAAAACTTATGCTACATGCTAAACACTACACCTAACCCAACCCAAGCCTATCTACAACTACTAATGTACATCTGTACACCACATGTTACACTTTATTTATTGTGAATATTTACATTATAAGGGTATCAAGGACAAGAGTTAGGGTTAGAGCTAGGATTAGGCTTAGGATTACAATATTTACATTATAAGGGTATAATAAGGGTTAGGATTATAAGGATAGGTGTGTAAACAAACTCTAAACATGTCTGCAAACAACGAAGAAAAAGTTGGTAGCGGCCTCAGGCGCAAACAGCATTTGTTCGTGCTTGCTCCACCCGTATCTCTACATCTTACATCTCTACACGATATCGCTGTGAAATCGCATCTGAAGGAAAGATACCTGAAGTGGAGAAATGTTTCGTAATGACTACACACATTGCTGCTACATTTGACCCAATTTTTTACACACAGATTAATGGTTTTTGTATTTATGGTTTGCAGTAAACTGACACATACGTGCAAGCTTAATAGACAGTTGAAATTCGTTACAACGTACCTCCAGGGACCTTAAGAATCAGTACGTTATAGCGATAGTTCGTTGTAACCAATTCCCATAAAATGAACGCTAACGCAAAAATTAAAACATGAAAGTTTAATGATAACACCTGTAACAAATTTGTCAACTTAGTTAGAGTAATATAAAACAATGAATTAAAGACACCCGTCTTTTGTTCCCGTTACTTGCACTCAACGAAATGAAAGAGCCCGCGTTAATTTCGCAGATGTCATTGATGAGTTTAAATGTTGCTGATGCGACTGAATCAGTTCGTTTACTTACAACTTGAAACGGCAGTAATCTTCGTCTGCTTTGTCACTTAATTTACTGGTCACACGCCCAAGAATAGTGTCCCGTACATTGTAACGAAGGCTAGTATGCATTTTTCCAGTGAAAATTGGAACGTTGTATTAAAGTTTACGTTATAAAGGTGTACGTTGTAAATGATACTGGCAAATGGAATAATACATTGCACAAATTCGGGACTTGGAGATGTGTAAATTGTAACAGTGTAAACGTTATAAACATGGTACGTAGTAACGAAGTGCGACTGTAGCTATATATTGTTATAGAATGTCTCTATTGATACACGGTGGACTCGCTAGGTGGCGCTAGTAGATATGAAAGACCGGAAGTGCCTGTATATTATACTATATAATAATATAAAATGTCTCTATCAATACATCGCGCACTCACTATAGGTGACATTAATAGTTCATATGCTGACATTTGTTACTATTGCCTTACCCATATTGTTCCGTACGGTATATGTTCACACGATATCACTGTGAAATCACACGTGGAGAAAAGGCACCTGCAGTGGAAAACTATTCACGTAATGACCACACACACGCTGCTACATTAGTTGGTTTTTCACGCACGAATCAATAGTTTATGTATAAATGGTTCGCTGTATACTCACACATACTGGCAAGCACCTCCAAATTCGAGTTTAACGTGCCTGTATAATATCATTTCTCTGAGAATACACTACACACTCGCTAGGTAGTGTTAGTAGATCACGCGCTCATTATTCTAACATTTCTACAAGCAAAAACTACCTGCATGCTTAATTTGTTGTGAATATTTACATTATAAGGGTAACAAGGGCAAGAGTTAGGGTTAGAGCTAGGGTTAGGCTTGGGTTCAAGGTTATGATTGAATATTGTTATAGAATGTCTCTATGAATACACAGCGCACTCGCTAGGTGGCGCTAGTAAATCATATGAAAGACTAAAAGTGGCTGTATATGACATTACAGTACACAATCTATTACCTGAAATTCTGAAAACCGAAAAGTTCCGAAAACCAAGTTTTTTCGTGGAGGGCGTCTGCACACCAAAGCTCGGGTTTAACTGCACAAGATTCACTGCAGAAATATCAATGTGTTTGGCATTACTCATACATATTGTACTGTACTGGTAGAGCACTTGTGTAATGAAGCAGAAATTATGAGAGCGAAAATTAATATTGAAATGTAGGAATAGGGAGCATAGGCGATAATGGCACGAGTATTAGAGAAATTAGTTAGATGGACAACGATTATAGAAGCGTCCAACAGCACATTGAATAATTAACATCGCAACGCTGAGAAGATTGGTAATTATGCCAACGGCAGATGTAGCGGGCCACGAAAGGCATTAGATATACATTAGATATAGATTATAGGTACATTAGATACGGAAGGCGAGCACGCAGTAATCTGGGCTAAGATAAGTAGCCACGAAGCAACGCATGCAGAATAAAAGTAACCAGTGACTATTTGGCAGCCAGCCAGAGGCCAAAAGTTTGGTTTGGACACAGTCCAAACTGACGTAAGATACTCGTCATACTAATGTCCGACGCCGAACCAATAGGGGAGATGGCCGAAGCGGCCGGCGAGGCGAGAAGGAACGCGCGCGACGAGAAGGGCACGCCCAGAGGTATAAAAGGGAACGCGCAGAAAGAATGTGGCTGGTTACGACGACAGAGTGCTGTGCGTAATAAAACTACGTTTTTACTGTGACAAACCTACTGTTCGCTTTATAACTGACTTGAATTTATTCAACACTACAATAGCATTATCGCACCTGTCATTTCACGTTGACTCACCCGATGAACTCATGTCTACCTGCTATCCCGCGACCCCGGCTCGATCACGTAGCTGCAACTGCTGAGCAGGAGAGAGAGGAGGAGGAGGAGGAAGGGGGGGCAGTTTCCACGCACCCCACGAAAAATGTGAATACATGACATGATTATTGGCAGTCACCTTCCCAAAACACATTTTGGCACGTGGCTTTACACACACGCACGCACGCACGCGCGCACATACACACACACACACACACACACACACACACACACACACAGATATGCACGCACGCACGTACGCGCGGACGCGCGGACGGATGCGCGCGCACGCACACACACACACTAACATATACACACGTGGAAGCATGAATGGATGGATGGTTGCATGGATTGATAGAATTATAGATTGATTGATAGGTGGATAAGTAGATTGATAGATAGAAAGATTGATTGATTGATAGATACACAGATAGATAGATAGATAGATAGATAGATAGATAGATAGATAGATAGATAGATAGATAGATAGATAGATAGATAGATAGATAGATAGATTAGATAGATAGATAGATAGATAGATAGATTATCTATCTATCTATCTATCTATCTATCTATCTATCTATCTATCTATCTATCTATCTATCAGATAGATAGATAGATACTATCTATCTATCATAGATAGATAGATAGATAGATAGATAGATAGATAGATAGATAGATAGATAGATTCTATCTATCTATCTTAGATATAACGAGAGAGAGAAAGCGGGGTTGATAGGGGGGAGGGGATGGAGAGGAAAATTTATTCTAACATTTTTAACGTAAACGAACCCGCGGAATCGTTAACATGAATCTGCATACATAATGCAAACCCTACAGCAACAGCAGCAGCGATGTAACGTCGGCAAACCTTCACTAAACGAACACAACACTGCCACGTCTCTATTTTCGGCGCAACACATTTTCCACAGGAAATTCGCCATTTGATCATAGGGCCAGTTGATGCGTAATAGGGTCCACGGACATAATATATTCAATATAATTCATAGCAGTATATATACGTAACAGTATAGAGTGACACAAAGGGTTCAAAGGCGAGCAACAGTTTTTGCTGCATGTTCTTTCTCAACGTCGGTAGCAAATACTTGCTTCCAAAGGAATTCCTAAAAAACCACACAGTTAAGGCACTAAGG